CTCACCATAGCACATACCCTCTCCAATGTCTATCATCCAGCCAGCCCATCCCTCCCACCCCACTCCAGCAACCCTCAGTTTGTTTCCTGAGATTAAGAATTCCTCATATCAGTGAGATCATATGATATACATCTTTCTAGGTGAGTCTTTCTTAACTGGAACTCCTCATTACAGTGTAGAAAACAATACTTGAGAGGCCAATAAAATCGTTTCTTGGCATTCACAGGTGTAAGGCTCAGTAGGGCAACCGTTTGCAGGAGGCCGGGAAGGCCCGTGATAGGTGGAAATGGGCACATCTACTGAGGGAGAATTTTTAGTCCTGTACAGGTGCAAGTCAATTTTAGAGTTGCCAAATAACATACAGAATGCCCAGTTAAATTTCAATTTCAGAAAAACAGCAAATACACTTTCAGGATAAGTATTTCCCAAATATTGCATGGGACATGCTCATACTGAACTGTTCATCTGATATTCAAATTTAACTGTACATCCTGTATTTTTACTGGGTAAATCTGGCAACCTTGACCGCATGACTATTTCAAAGTTTCAAAACATCTCAGCTGAGATTTGTGGGTCTTTTATTGTCATGCCAGATGTGGAAAATCTTATTAAGTACTAAATATTTTGCTTTTTTTTTTCCTGAGGAAAAAAGACCATCGAGTGAGACATAAACTTTAAATGAATTCTGAAAATAAGTTTAACTTGAGGTGTAAATGGATAGTTAGGAAATAATAACCCTCAGTAGAGCTGTGACTCAGAAAAAAGCCATGAGCTGGTTCATATACTTTCAGGTCCACCAGAGTCTCGGGAGAGCTCCCTCAAGAACCGCAGATGTCTGTGTATGTGGCTATAACCCTGGTTTTTTGTCATTGCACATTTTCTATAAAAAGTCAAAGGCAAGCCCTTCCCCAGTATTGTACACAATTGAAATAAGGAGAGGAAATTGTTGGCGTGAAACCTGGGTGTAGCATAAGATGCTACCCTTCTGTCAGTAGAAGCTCCAGAGTAGAATTTAGACCAAACAATCTTAACCTTTTCAAAGGTGAGGACCTCATGGGACGCCTGGGTGGTGCTGTTGGTTAAGCATCTGACTCTTGGTTTCGGCTCAGGGTCCTGAGATTGAGCCTCGAGTAGGGCTCCTTGCTCAGTGTGGAGTCTGCTTAAGACTCTCCCTCCCTCCCCCCC